GGGGTGGGGGGGGGGGGGGGAGGGAGTAGGGAAAAAAAAGGACAAAAGATTACGTAAAAAAAAAATTAAAAATGTTTTTAAAAGTAAGAAATGATTAAAAATATGTAAAATAATGATGTAAAAATATGTAAAAGCTTTTAAAACCTCCTAAAATAATTAAAAATGTTAACATTAAAAAATTAAAATTAAAAACATGTTAAAAAAGTAAAAAAATGTTAAAAATAGCTAAAATTGTAAAAACAAGTGCAAAAAATGTAAAAAAAGTGGACAAAATTGTAAGAACAGTTAAAAAAATTGTTAAAAAGTAGACAAAATTGTAAAACCAAGTAAAAATGAGTAAAAAAAAAAAAAAAAATTTTAAAAAAAAAAATTTAAAAATCCCCATATATTTGCAAGACTCCTGGTTCAAGCCGAGATCGCCACTTGCTCGCCGATGCCCATCACCTCCCAGTTACATTCCTTTTTCTGTTCTATTTCTGGGGTTTTCCCATTTCCTCAGGAAGCAAATCCTTTGCCGGAGTTAGTGGCCGCCTACGAGGCGAGGTGGGGGCTCCCCGCGGGGTTAACCCCAATAATCCCTCTTGCTTTAGGGTTTTTTTTTTGAAGACCATGGCCAAAGACGTCAACTCTAGAGAGTGACCACAGTGAAGGTCTTCAGGGTAAGAAAATTCCCAAACTCAGCAATATTTGCCCGATTCCTTAGCAGTTCACAGTGAAATTTCTGAAATTGCTGAATTGCTGAAAACAGCGGTTCTGAGCCCAAAAAGGGACTGAGGACCCCAAGAGTTGGGGGGGGGGGGGGTATTTGGTCCTACAGAAAGACCAACATCTCCACCCAATTTTTAATCTGCGACACTTTAAAAAATATTTTTGTAATTACTAAAAAAAAAATGGATTTTTCAAAATTTCCATTTTTGTCACTGATGCAACCACCTAAAAAGCAGTTTGGACGGGGTGGGGGGGGGGGGCATCCGGATTTTATTAATGTCTCCTCCGAAATGAGGGTGGGGGGCAAAGCTGCTTTTATCACTTTCTGTGCAGAAAATGCTGAAAAAATCTACAACCACACCCGATTTTGAATCATTTTTAAAAACGTATTTCTATAAGAAGTAAATAAATTAACACAAAGCTTATTTTTTTTTTAATTTTCCATTTCTGCCCCCGCGGTAACCACCTAAGAAGTGCTTTTTTTTTTTGCTAGGGCAAAGCTGCTGTCATTGCTTTTGATGCCAAAAAGGCCTATATTTCAAACCACCTTTTTGCAAACTTTTAGCAGATCCAGCTGATTCTTAAAGCATTTTGTTCCCTCCAAAAAGCAGCTTTTCCCATCATTTCTGCTTTGGTTTTGCACGTTTCCGACAGCAAGGGTGATCGCCTGCGCTAACGCAAAGCTCCCCCAAACCCTTTTCAGCCTTTTTTTCCCCCAAACAGGATCCTTGATGATGAGAAGCTGATTGTAGCTCTAATAATTCATTTTTTTTTATTTATCACAGACCCGCCCCACCTCTCCCCTGTCTTTGGGGAGAGGAAATGTGTGCGTTTTGCTTTCCCAAACCGTAGGAATCCCAAATTTTCAGGTGAAAAGCTCAGAGCAGTCGCAGTGTTGAGTCAAAAAAAAGGAACACTGGGCTGTGGCTTTTCCTCCAAACCCACTAAACTGAAGGAAAAACGCTTGAGCAACCCCCTCGACAGGGAAAAATAGGAGGGTTTTGGTCAACGATGCTCCTGAGAGCTCCCAAAAGTCAACGTATTAAAACAGGGGGCAGATAAGGGCCAGGGATGGGGGACGTCTCCGTAGGATGCTGCAGAAAAATCTCGGCTATTTTCGAAGTCCTTTAAATTGCCCATTAGGACTAAAACGGCGCCGCGGCTCCCCACTGCGTAAGTGAGAAAGGCGGCGTGTTTCAACACGGGGCGGGGGGGTGGAAATCGGGAAAAAAACCCTCTCGGAGCGGAGCAGCGAAGCGAGCAAATGATGACACAGAAGTTGGAGGAGCCATAAAAACCCCACCGAGGTGTCGTTTGCAAGAAGTGACCTTTTCCCACCGAAGGAGACAAGTGGAAAGGAGACCCGGGTGGCTTCAGGGGGGGCGTAAAAGTCGATTTATTTATTTTAGCTTGCAGAGAACAGACTTGATTTTTTTTTTCCCTGGGAGGGGATTTTTTTCTGCTTTTGCAGCATATATATGCAGCAAATGGAGGAAAACCTCAACATTTCCCACACGACCCCCCCCCCAAAAAAGCTGCTTGGAACACGAAGCTGGTTCAGTGCTCAATCGGGGTCACTGCTGCCGGGAAAGTGGAAATGTGATGTGGATTTGTCCCCCAAAAAATCTCAGGATGGGCTGCGAGGCACAGGACCGTCTCGGAAATCCAACCTCAACCTCCACATCCAGCCCATTGGGGTGCTCCAGTAGAGTTTCTCTTGGACAAACTCCTCTTCTTATAATAACTTAACTCTGTAACGACGCTTGGAAAAGTTATTCGAGCCCTTAGAGCAGCAGCGTAGCTGAAGTCTTTTTTTCCCCCACCACGGGTTGCCAAAAAACACCATAAAAATAAATCAAAAGGCCATTCCTACGGCTCAACCTGTCCCGGTTCAGCCAGACGTTTCATCTTTCCAGCTTATTAACCTGCCGGCTGCAAACACACGGCCTTGTTGGCTTGCCAAGAGATCCTGTGACCCCAAAATATACCCATGGTTTGGGGAAAAAAACCAAATAGTTTGACCCAAAACCCTTCAATCCTGGAGATTGTGTCCAGGGGGTTTCATTTTTGCCAGTCTCTGAAATGAACATTTTAGGATGAAATTTAGGGTCATTATTTTGGAAGGCATAGTAGTTAATGCAGGAGTTGGGGGTCACGAGGGGCCCGTGGGTGCTGGGGGGACACTCACCTGTGGGGTGTCTTGGTAGGGAGGAGGGGGCACCGTCTGGGTGGCCATCATCGTCAGAGCCGGTGCCGGGGAGACATGGTGCATCCTGGGTGGGAGTCACATCGAGAACCTGTGGGCGGGAGAAATGCTGCTGGATTAAGGGGAATCTTCCCCTCAAAAAAATCCCACGGAGAGGGAAAAAGAAAGGGACAGGAAGGAGAGGTGACATTCCTCACAGGAGCACCCTGGTGCAGCATTCCATCACCCAGCCCCTGGGAAAAACCCAAGATGATTTGATGACCCTTATCATAATTTCATGATTATTTGAGATTCCTGATTTTGGATAAAGAGCGCATCGGGGGCAAAGCAAGAGGGTCACTGCCAAGGAGACCTGCCCTGGAGAGCAGCCAGGCAAGGGCAGAGTTCTTGGAGATGGTGGCTACCGTCGGTGAACCTCATTATATTTTGCCCTTGTCAACCTTGATGCACCCAGGGCATTTTCTTTCAACCCCTTTATGCCTATAACCTCAGTGCTTAAACGGGGATTTCCATCCCCTTTCCAGTTGTTCCTCCTTTTTGGAGCAGGAAGGAAAGTCAGAAATGCAAACCCTTCCATTTTCTGGAACTAAACACCAAAAAAAAACCCCAGACAATGCATCCCTCTGCCTTTGGCCACCATAGAATCACATCCCCAGGCACTGCATGCTCAGTCCAGAAGGGACATTGAGTATCCAACGTTGAGTTGACCAACACAGTTGATTCCTATGTTACATTGCCCAATCCAGTTGACCCCTATGTTGAGTTGACCGACACCATTGTGACTGAATGCACAGAAGTGAGGAATGAGGGTTCAAATCCTTGCTTGATTTGAAGTGGGGAGCAAACCCTTGTTTTGCACATCCCATATGGACATCCTTGAAGCTGGAAAGCAGTCCCAGCCCTCAACGTCTCCTGAAGTTGCTCTGCTGTCTGTAAATGCATAGTTATTGCAGGGGGGAAGCAGCCTCTTGTTTGGTATCTTCAGGTCCCAAGGTGATGGAGAAAGAAGAAGGGAACCGGGAAGGGACCAATTTGTAGAGGAGCTCTTGGCTGGTTGCCTTGGGGAAGGGTAGACCTCGTGGCAGAGTGTAACCAAAATCAGGTCTTTGCCCCAAATGCCTCCTGTCCTGTTATTTCACTGCAGCTGCCCGGTTGCTTCAGAAGGAAAGCAAATAATCTTGCTTAAATCCTCAAAACAACCCCTGTCCTGGGTACCCTCTCGGGTTCTGAGCTCTGTATTGAGCCAATTCACGAAGCCACCTGCCACAATCTCCCCAGAACCTTCACAAGTGCATTTCTTCAATGACTCAGTTTTGTAAAGGACGACATCTCTCGAAGGGTTCGTCCCGTTGCAATGCCCATCATCTCATCTGGAGAGAAGCCGCAGCACCATCCCATGAAGAAATGCAAAAAATTATGTAACATCCCCTGATATTGTATGGGGATCTACCAAATAATAGCATCAGCATTGCTTCTGCCATGAGAAGGTGGCATGCAGGAAGAAATGCTCTCACACAAGGAGGCGGAATGGGGATACCAATGAGCTCAGAAAACCTGAGGGACATTTGGGGTCTTCAGATCCATCTCCACAGTTTTTTGGGGATGATTCGCAATATTCTGGTCTTCTCCATGAGTTCCACGGTTGTTTGAGGGAAGATTCGCAACATTCTGGTCTCCTCCATGAGGCTTTGGGTTTTACAGGCGCCACCAGGAATAAATAAGAATAAATACACTGAGCCCACGTGGAAAGCCAAGTGCCATCTGCATGGGATAAGTGTCAACCACTCATTATTTTGCATGAATAAAATTATTTTTTTTCCCTTTGCACTAGTATGGATGACCCTTGAATTGAGTATTAAGAGAGCACACCCAAAATCCTGTGCCTTGGGAAGGCAGAGCAGGGTCCTTGCATGACACAGACCTCCTGCAGCCTGAAGGACATTGCATTTATGGGATTAAAACAATGCTTTTCATCTTTTTTCCCCAACAGCAAAATAGCGGGAGGCAAAATTATCTGCTCCTGAGCGAACTCGAGGCTTAAAATCTTCGGTGTCCAATGTCAAAACTCAGCTCACAGCTGCAGGCATGTCCTCAAGGGGTAACACCAAGGGGAATTCTCCCCACCAGAAATAGCTGCAGCTGGAGAACAGCCGAATTCAGCACCGTGACGGTCTAGACATCTCGGTGGGAAGCTAAAAAAAAAATAAGACATTGCTGTTTGGGGAGAAAAAACCCTGCTTGGCATCTATTGTTCATGCCAGGAGCAAACCTACCTCCGGCACGCAGCAATTTATTGCAGGGTGCGAGCTTTTCGGCCAAATATATTCCCAGAAGGTGGCAGTCCAGAGCCCAATTTAATTGCTGAGTATCATCTAACCTGCTAAAATCAAGCCGTTCATTAAGGCTTTATGGGCGCTGATTTGTTTGGAGAACAGAACTTATAGCCAAATGTTAAAAAAAAAAGGATAAAAATGAGAGACAGCTGTTGCCGATAGCAGTATATTTATCTTGGGGGAAACAAATGCACTTGGGCGTCGTAAATATCCGGGGAAGCGCCTGGCACCCGCGGGAAAAGCCGGACGGGTGTTTCACACAGGAGCCCCTGGCCATGAATCTTGGGATAACGGCGCAAAGCTGTCAGCCCTGCGGATTTATCGGCAGCCAAACGCAGGGAAGGGTGGAAAGCTGCTATTTCATGCATTCATCCTTACTTATTCCTTATATTTTTTATTTTATGCATTAGTCCTCTCTTATTTTCTATTTTATTTTTTTCCCCGCCTCTTCAATCGATTTAGCCGTGTGAGCTCTTCACCATCGGCATCCAGACGATGAAAGGCGCAGAGCATCGCCAAACCCCTGCCAACCCCTTGCGGATCAGCTCAAGGCAATGATCAAATCTTGGGTGAAGAGTGGCTTAGGGGGGCTGGGGGTCGAGGAGGGCAGGAATTGCAGCCAATTCCCAGGGCGTTTGCGCAGAGGAAAGAAACAGTGAGCAATAAAATCTATGAGGCTCTTTCATTTCCGGAAGCGGCAGTACTTTAGGTTTTGGCAGCAACCTGAGATCAAAGTATCCTAAATTTCCTTATGAAATAAAATTATTTCAGCTATTGCTGAAAAATCGCCATTAAGTTGAAAATGTATTTCCCGAAGAGCTTGTGTCTACCCAAAAGAGTCTCAGATTTATAGGCTGCTTTTTTGCCAGCAATATATTATCTCCTCTCTCAAATAAAAATAATTAAAGACTAAGTTGAGAAGTTGGGGGTGGGGGTGGGGGGTTCAGCCTGGTCACTGATGCCTCAAATAATTCAAAAAATCAAAGTATTGCAGCCAGTTGTCCGCCATCCCCGAGGTGAAGATGACCTCCTCCATTCATAAAACAGCCATAAAACCGTATTAGAAGTAGAGCTGAATGCAAAAAAAGGAGAAAATCACATTGTTGGACTCCACGGTAGCGTTTCCGGGGGATAATGTTAATAGCGGCTTCGCAAGGTGCGACTTCTGTTTCCAAATCAAAAGGAAAATGGGGCTTGTTTTTTCTGGCTCTTTCAGCAGCTTCTCCCCTGCAGCAGAACATCCAATTGCTAAGGGAGGATTCAACGCAAGAAATCGGAAAATCGGCTTTTCAGGCCTTTCCTCTTCTCTACCCAAAGTTTCAGAATTCTTAGAGATACTTGAGGACGTTTTTCCGGCCACGGGAAGGTATTTTTTCCGTATTAAGGGAAGATTGCCTCTTCTAAAGGGGTTTTTTGTTTGTTTGTTTTTAAGATTTGCAATGACGCCGTGTCAGTCGTGCTCCCTCTGCAGTGGGTTGGGAGTTTTTTATGCCCCCCTCTTCACGGACTGCTTGTGCACGTTGAAGTTGATGATATATGCATTCATTATATGCATACATCTACGTTAAAATGAAGAAATATAGCTTGAAGGGGAAGGGAGAGGCACCTCCAGAGAACGATCCATCTCGCTCTGAACCGCCAGCCAGGACAGGTTCCCCCTCAGCGGGCGATGCCGACTCTTCATTGGCCATGAAGTGAATCGAGAGCGACCCTCTCGCTCTTGAACGTCTCGTTTCTATCTGCCAACCTTCACGCTTTTTGCTCGTTTTTACCAAAATTCACCCATTACCCTGAAAGATGAACACCAGCTTTTCACAAGCTATTTAAGGAACCCCTTTATGCCACCCCGAGCTCATTAAAAATAAACCGAATGCTATTAAATGGTTGAAAATGGTCATTTTTCAAGACATCACCCATTCTTGGCCATTCCTCGCGTTGCTTCCAAGTGGGCTCTTGTGTTGCCTCATCTGAGGCGTTTGTGCAAATTCCACTGTGCCACCCAATATTTTCAATTTTTTGAGGATTATTTGGTAGCCAAATTTCCTCTACCCAAGCCCAGGAGGGTTTTTGCACTGGGAGCATCCTTTGCTCTTGGCCAAGCTGCTGCTTCCCTAAATGCTGACCTTTGTACCCTTCCCAGCATCCAGTTATTGAGTTATTTCCCAATAAAAAAGGACGAATCAAGTCGGTGCTTCTGCTACAACCATGGGCTAAAGCAGATGAGGATCTGGTATTTCCTCAGGATAAATCCTGGACAAAAGCAAATCGCTTTTCTGTTTTTCTCCTAAAAAAGCTCTTGGTCGACGTACAAGCACTGAGGTAAAAGGGAGAGGGAAACGCCATGTTGGACGATGCCAAAAAACTCTTGCCAAGCACCGGTTTGGTTTGTCACCAGATGGGATAACTCCCCTGGGTGTGGGGGAAACACCATTTATTTATTTAATATTTTCATTTATTTATTTAATATTTGCAAATCCTCTTCCCCACTCCAGCTCCATAGAAAGGAGGGGGGGTGCTGCTACAGTGAATTTCTGATGAGAACAACAATTACCACTAAATATTTCTCTCCTCTCTGAAGATCCCCATCCCTAAGAGGCTCCAGGGATATCTCTGCAACATAAACACGAGAATAAAAACTGCGCGAGCCAGTCAGAGCTTTACTAGACAAGGTTAATGTACCTTGAACAGCAGCATTAAACAACTTTGTTCTTTTTTTTAAGTGGAGAGCAGAGC